GCGGGGCTCGAACTCACGGACCGCGAGATCGTGACCTGGCTGAAGTCGGACGCTTAACCGACTGCGCCACCCAGGCGCCCCAAAAAAGAATAGATGGAACATTCAGGTAAATTTGGCTCCTTAGCTAAACTGAGAAGAGACATGGGGAGAACAAGGGAGAATAAAGTGATTACAGTTTCTAAATTGCATGGCTGTAGTTACCTTGAGTTCTTCCTTCAACGTCTGATTCTCTTCCTCTTTCCTAATATACGAGGCTTCTCTACTTTTTCTTTTTTTTTTTTTTTAAAGTAGGCTCCACGCCCAGCGTAAAGCCCAACACGGGGTTTAAACTCACATGACCCTGAGATCAAGACCTAAGCTGTGATCAAGAGTCAAACACTTAACCGACCCACCCGCCCCTTCTCGACTCTTTCACTCCCACAGAACTTTGCCCAAAACATATCGCACCACTCAATATCCACGCTGTTTTATGGCTAGTTTCATGTCTGTGTCGCCCACCAAGACATAACTCCTTCATGGAAATTAGAGTCTTATTCATTACTGTATCCTCAATTTTTGTATTTACTTGTTGCCCAGCACATAACACGCATTCAAAGAAGGAAAAGCCTAGGCGGGTGGACTGCCCAGGTTGCCAGGAGAGTTCAGTATAGAGTAACACTTCTCTTTAGAGAGAATCGGGGCTGTCAAAAGATAGACTATGTTGCAGCTACACGGCAACAGACTGTTCACCCTTTGCTCATGCTGTTTTCAGCAGTCTGAATGGTTTTCTCCCTCACAGGCCCAGAACATCCTATTCTCATTTAAAGACTCATTTGGGGCTCCTGGGTGGCTCCATCGGTTAAGCTTCCGACTTCGGCTCAGGTCATGATCTCTCAGTTTGTGGGTTCGAGACCCGCATGGGGCTCTGTGCTGACAGCTCACACCCTGGAGCCTGCTTCGGATTCTGTGTCTCCCTCTCTCTCTGCCCCTCCCCTGCTCGTCCCCTGTCTTTCTCTCGTTGTCTCTCTCAAAAATAAATAAATGTTAAAAAACTAAAAAAAAAAAAAAAAAAAAAAAAAAAAAAAAAAAAACTCATCTTGAAAGAGGGCTTCGGCTGCCTCCATTGTGATCTCAAACTTTTTAGTTAGATTCCTCCTTCCAGCTTGTCTCTCGGCTCCTGCAGAAGACCCTAAGGGCAAAGTATCTCCTAACGGGAACCAAAACTACCCCCTCAAGCAACAAGGACTGCCCCGAGCCATCAAGACCTCACCTGGGATTGAAATCCAAGACAATGATCAATTTAAAATTCAAGGTCCACCGGCACAGAACCCACCCACCTTTGCCCCACTTTTTCCTTACATAAACCTGGAAGTATTTTTGGCATTTTAGAGACGTCTTTGAGAAGCTAGTCCGCTGTCTTCCGGTGCTGGCCTCTCTGAAATAAACTTTCTTGTTTCACCATCAGCAGATTCTCTACCTTTGGATTTGTCAACGAGCCTCCGATTTGGTCTGTTTGGGAACCCGGGAGACAAGTGCTCCTGTAGCCCTGCGCACCAGCTGCAATTTCAACTGTTACCTTCTCTAGGAAGCTTTCCTTGACGCCTCCTACACGTAGCCCTCACCATCCCCCTCTTTTGTATTCTTAACGCATCCTATGGCAAACAACTGTATTTAAGCACCCTAAACACATCATTACATTCATTTTTCTATACTGAAGAGCTCCCCTCTTCTGAGCAGGTCCTTTTCCTACACAGGTGGCTTGAGAGGCAGGGCCTGAATGAATACAATGGTTGAATGGGGAGTCCGAAAATTAACTGGTCACCGGAAGACCTTCAGCATCCCTTGGACCCCGGCACGATGGGATGTTCTTCAAAATGTTCAGGTATGACGTCAAGTACACGAGATGCCTTTTCAGGTCCCTTCCGGTGCGCTGGATGCAGGATTCTGCTTACCCCCAAGTTTTCAGTATCTGGCAGGGTTCGATTTTTCTGAATTAATTTACACCGATCAATTTTCTTTTCTTCACGGAACCAATGTACGCCTCGGATAGACTTTCGTTCGTGTGTATTTCGGCTCTAGTGGCCCCAGCCCCCACCGCAGGCTCGCCAGCCCACCGCGGACGGCTCAGCCCACCCCGCCCCCTCCGCGTCCTCTGCGCTCCGCTTCCCCCAGCCGCGCAGCGCGCTCGGCGGCGGCGCCGCTCCCCTGCTCACCGTCTGGCCGAAATTCGAACTCTAGGAACTCGTGTCCAAACTTGCCCTTGTGCCCTACGTAGTAGCGCAGGTAGAAATCGCTGGCCATAGCCATTTTCGTCCCCCTGAAGCCCGCCCGAGGCCTGGCCGACGTGCCGCCCGGCGCCTGGTAGTGACGTCATCGCCCAGGGTAAAAGCGTCGCGGCGGGCGTGCCTTTCTGGTCCCCGGTGACCGGAGAAAAGCGGGAAGGCGGGTTCTCCCGGGAGAGACTCTGAGGCGCTGGGGAGACCTGAACTTGGTTTCGCAAGGTTGGAAGAACATTTTTTTTTTTTTTTTTTTTTTTTTTTTTTTTTTTTTTGCAAAATTAAGTAGATCGTGTGCTACAAGCAAAACACAGAAGTGTGAAAATGTCATAGTATTTTTTTATGGGCTGAGAATTCAGGTGTGCAAGTCGCTTTTACTTTTCGGGTCTCTAATTCTCGCGGCACCCTGCCCTCACGAGGGGGGGTGTGGCATAAATTCGCCTTTCACTGGTGGAGTGAGGGAAGATAAAGCCAGAATCCGAATGGTTGACCTGGACTACAACCCTTTCCTGCAGTTAGATTCCTAACCGGAGATTTCCCCCTTTGCACCACGGTTGCTAGCTAGCTGACAGCTAGAAGCCTATCAAACAAGAGGTATGAAATTTGAAAGACACACTGAAACTAAAGATCCCTGAAGTCACGGTATAAAAGAGTTCCTTTTAATAGTAAAACGTATACCATTCAGCAAGGGTTAATCTTTAGTAGCCTGTGGAGTTTTGGCAATTTGACTGAAGATCAAATGGTTTAGCCCACGTTTCTTACCAGAAAAAAATTACATTGGGGAGGGGAAAGAATGCTCCAGTGTGGAATGGGTTTTGAAGGAGGTGGAAAGACAAGGGGAACGTTTACGGAGTCTACTTTTCAAATATTATTGATCACCCTGTTTTTACCAACCGAGTAATTCTGCTGGGTGACCTTTAACCCTCAGCAGTATTTAAAATAAAGAGTGGCAGTCAGAAGACCTGCGATTCATTCCCATCACTTATGCTCTACTAACCTTGGTTGCTTAGTCACTGTCCACACCTGTTTGTTCACCAACTGAATGAATATCCTATGATCAACTTTGTCAATCTTTGTTGAGAAGATCAAATGAGATAATACATATATAATAAGCTTTAAAATTTATAAAAACAAGGGTGCCTGCGTGGCTCAGTGGGTTAAGCATCGGACTTCGGCTCAGGTCATGATCTCACGGTTCATGAGTTCGAGCCCCACGTCGGGCTCTGTGCTGACAGCTCAGAGCCTGGAGCCTGTTTCAGATTCTGTGTCTCCCTTTCTGTCTGTCCCTCACCCACTTGTCTTCTCTCTCTCTCTCTCTCTCTCTCTCTCTCTCAAAAATAAATAAACAACTTTTTTTAATTTATAAAAACATACAGGCATTTCTTATGTGCCAGAAATGGACAGACACTGGTAATAATGATAGAGCCCTTTACAAGTTTAGTCTAGAAAAGAAAGCAAACATGTAGTCACGTATTAGCACAAGGAAGCAAATATTACAAGAATATTTTTAGCTCTTTTGAGGAAGATACAGTCACAGCTACAAAGGAGTTTTGGACTTGCCCGCTCCTGTTCCCAGCTCACTGCTGCTAGCTCTCTCCAAGGAACCAGTCATGAAGAAGCTGCACCACAGCCATGGCTTTTAAAGACACCATAAAGACACCGGTGGAACCAGAGGTGGCAATTCACTGAATTAGAATTATTATAACCAGACGCAACTTAAAATCTTTGGAGAAGGTATATGCTGACTTGATCAGAGATGCAAAGGGAAAGAACCTCAAAGTGAAAGGACCAGTTCAGATGCCTGCTAGATTCACCACAAGAAAAACTCCTTGTGGTGAAGGTTCTAAGACTCAGGATCATTTTCAGATGAGGATCTACAAGTGACTCATTGATTTGCACAGTCCTTTTGAGATTGTTAAACAAGATTACTTCCAAGAGTATTGAGCCAAGAGTTGAGGGTGAACTCACCACTGCAGATGCTTAAATCAATTTTTTTAATAACTTGATTATCAGTTGTAAAAAAAAAAAAAAAGAAAGCAAATTTTTAAATGCTGGAATTACAGCAGAAGAAGCAAGCCACTTTATTGGGGAATAGCGGAAATTGAAGAAAGGGAAGTATCAAGGAAGGCTGTGTAGATGTACGATCTGAATTGGACCTTGTTGGGTAAGTTCAGTGTATGGTCAAAGGGAGGGAAAGCATTCAGGGCAGAAAATAGCCTGAACAAAGGCACAGTGGTATGAAAGTGCGTGATTCTGGAAAGCCAAACACTTCACTATAGTTAGAACATAAAGTTCAGGGGCGCCTGGGTGGCTCAGTCGGTTAAGCGTCCGACTTCAGCTCAGGTCACGATCTCGCGGTCCATGAGTTCGAGCCCCACGTCGGGCTCTGGGCTGATGCCTCAGAGCCTGGAGCCTGCTTCTGATTCTGTGTCTCCCTCTCTCTCTGCCCTTCCCCCGTTCATGCTCTGTCTCTGTCTCAAAAATAAATAAACGTTAAAAAAAATTATAAAAAAAAATTAAAAAAAAAAAAGAACATAAAGTTCATACAAGTGGAATGACTAGAAAGGCAGACTGGGCCAGATTATGTTGAGTCTATATTAACACTTATATAACTGTCAATGTAGAAATCTATATTAACCATTGTATAAATGATATAGATATCATTTATCTATCTATATCTATCTTTTAATATAGAAAAGTTATTCAGTTCCTATTATTTGCTGCCATTATGGAAAATATACAAGAGACATAAAGCACTATCCCTTAACACTAAGGTAACTAACTGTTTTGGTTTGCCCAGGACTGAGGAGTTTCCTGCAGTGTGGGACTTTTCAGTTGTAAAGCCTGCAAAGACCCAGGCAAACCGAGATCAGTTGGTCACTGTACTTACTACAAGAATAACCCATAGAAATCTGACCACGTATTCCATAGTATCTCTGAAAATATAGGCAATAATCCATTTGGGTTGTTTGTTTGTTTGTTGTGCCGGGAGCCTCATTCAATATATTTAGATTCCCCAGTACATATCCATCAGATTTTTGGCTCACGTGCCAATGTTCATCTTCATGCTTACGTAAGAGAGCTACCGGTTCCAGAACTATGACTATGCCAATAGTGCATGTGGAATGCGGTAGTAAGATCTTTATCTGTAGGCCAATTACTGTTTTTAATCCCCTAAAAAGATTTCTGCGCTAAAGACTAATCCTTTCTAACCCCTGTCGGTTTTTAAGGTGAAATGTGAAAATATATTCACTTAATCCTTTATATATGAAAAAGTAATCTCTTGTGTCATTCTCTCTTGTATCATGGTAAGCATTGCCAAGTGGTCTTCTTGGATGGTATACGATGCAGATGTGGAAATGTTCTGAATGGCTTGTGAGCACTTGAAATGTGGCTAGTGAGAATAGGGAGTGATTTTTTTTTTCTTTTTAAAGGTTTCATGGGTATGAATTTAAAATAATACTGAAATAGCCACATGTGTCTATTGGCTACCATGTTGGACAGTGAAGTGATATAAGAACCATTTCATACACTTTTAGTTGGGCTGGAAATAGTGAAAATACTTTTCAAACATTGATAAATCTGAATCCCAGTTGCTGTAGGCTTCAAATTAGAGCATACTTACTAGTATCACCACAGTTCATTTATGAAAATAAATGTTTAGGGCTGACTAAATGAAGCCAAGTAAAGAATTATTTCTGTCTTCGCTAACGTAACCTATCTGTGGTTAGCTTTAAAAGACCCTTCTGAAGCAGTTAAGAAATACACATTTTATTTCCAACTCCAGTTGAAAATAAGACTTCATGATTTAGTCAAATACATAATATTCATTGATAAAATAATGAATTTTAAGTTTATTGTTTTCAGCTTCATGGTAATGAAACAAGTCAGAGGGCTATGGTCAGAGATGGTTATTTCTTAAGTGTAATTTAGTCTTTTTTAAACGTTCTGATTTTCCCTGCATCTAAAACTCTTTCTTTTTTTGGTCTCTCAAATCTGCTTTATCCTCACACTTCTTTTGCCTTTTGCCTCACTATTTAAAATTATCAAGTTATTCCTACTTATAATTTTCAGAAATATGTTATGAATTTCGTGAGATAAACACTAGAGAGCACAGGTTTTTTTGTTGTTCTTTTCTTTCTTTTCCTCTCGACTGCTCTCCTCTCTTCTCTCTTTTCTCTTCTCTTCTTTTCTTTTCTTTTCTTTTCTTTTCTTTTCTTTTCTTATCAGTAGCTTTTGAATAGTTTACTTTTGTATTTACAGAACAAAAGCTTCCAGGACTATCTCCTTCCATTAAATGGACCAGAGTAATAAATCAAGAATATTATATAATCTAAAACAGCAGTCTAAGGTAATTTAAAGTTTTTTTTTTTTAATGTCAGAATGAGATGGTCTATTTCAGCCTTTATTCCATCCACCCACCTTTCTCTTCTCTCCTCTATAATACCTTCTCTATGGAATTTTAACATAATGTCGTTTTAATCACTCAGTGGTATTGCTTTTTTAGTAAGAGAAACACTATCCTGGAGAAATACCAAAATTTTCACATCATTGTTTCTCAGATATGTTCATATATGGTGAGCACTATTGCTACACTATTATGACATGATGATATATTTAATTCCATCATTCAAACTAATAATTTTTTCCAGTGTATGACAATATTATATGCTTCTAACACAAAGCACGACCACTAACCCTTATTTTCAAAACAAGTAAAAACAGTCTCTAAATTAAGCTATACTTAAAAATCCCCAGTTTTCCATTGTACTTGCCCTATTTATTTGTTCAAATGAGATATGGTAAAGCAAAAATTTAATAAAAATTATTATAGCGAGGTTAAGATTAAGAAGATTCTGTCCATTAGCTTACTTTTTCTTTAAAAATGGTGAAGAAATTATTCCATTTTAATAACAAAATATCTAAATCTACCATGAAAAACACTAGTGTTCTGCCTGAGCATGATTTGAAACTACTGGTTCAGACTATTCTAAGTTAAACTACATTTTCAACTTCTAATTTGTATCCAGGTGGATGTTTGCTCAGTTCCTGGCTGTGTTAGAGGCTGTTTTGAACAATAAAGCATAAATTGGGAAAA